TAAATGCATGCTTGCGAGCTGAAGGACCCAGCAGCAGCAGCAGCAGCAGCAGCAGCAGCAGAGCAGCAGCAGAGCAGCAGCAGCAGCAGCAGCAGCAGCAGCGGCAGCAGCGGGAAGAACAGGTGCCAGAGAGAGGCAGGAACAAGCAAGCAGCACAGAGCCCGCAGCAACAAACTCCCCAAACCGCAAAGCAGCAGCAGCAGCAGCAGCAGCAGCAGCAGCAGCAGCAGCAGCAGCAGCAGCAGCAGCAGCAGCAGCAGCAGGCTCACTGCAGCAGCGTTTGGGTCCAGGGCCAAAGCCGCCAGGTGGCTTTCGGCTTGCTGCAGCATCATTTCCGCGCTGTCGAGTTCAGCCCTTGCGGACTCCAAAACTGCCAGCAGCTCGCGCCGCTGCAGCAGCAGCAGCAGCAGCAGCAGCAGCAGCAGCAGCAGCAGCAGCAGCAGCACAGAGCTGTCTGTACACCTCACAGGCCCCGCAGCAGCCCCACTCCTCCCCGCAACACTCAGCAGCAAATCTGCCACTGCCCCCCAGCACAACTTCCCTTCAAAAAACGCAAAACCGCTGCTGCTGCCGCTGCTGCTGCTGCTGCTGCTGCTGCTGCTGCTGCTGCTGCTGCTGCTCGTACCCGCTTCATGTAGGCCTCCAGGAAAACGCGGCCGGTGATGTGGGGCTCTCGAAAGCCTTTGAAGGAAGAAAGCGCTGCGTAAATCCGACGCAGCATTTCCTCGTCGTACTGCCGGCTCGAACTCTGCAGCAGCAGCAGCAGCAGCAGCAGCAGCAGCAGCAGCAGTAGCAGCAGCAGCAGCAGCAGCAGCTGTAGCAGCAGCAGCAGCGGTAGCAGTGGGAACAGCAGTAGCAACAGCAGCAGTCGCAGAAGTAGGAGTGCAGCAGCAGCAGCAGCAGCAGCAGCAGCAGCAGCAGCAGCAGCAGCAGCAGCAGCAGCAGCAGCAGCAGAATCACAGCAGCAGCAGCAGCAGCAGCAGCAGCAGCAGCAGCAGCAGCAGCAGCAGCAGCAGCAGCAGCAGCAAACCCGGAGGCGGGTGAGAAGGTCCGAAAGGGTCAAAATGGACTCTGGCAAAATTCCGCATTTTTGGAAATCATCATAAAGGAGGCGTCTGAGCAAAGAGCAGCAAAAAGAAATTAAAATAAATAAATTGAAATAAACTGCAGCAAAATAAAAAAGAAGAAATTAAAAATTAATTATTTAAAATTTAATTTGCTGCTGGGAGTTAAAAGGACTCAAACAATAAATGCTGCTTCTGCTGCTGCGCAGGCTCGGTGCTGCTGCTGCTGCTGCTGCTGCTAATGCCGTTGCTGCTGCTGCTGCTGCTGCTGTTCATGCTGCTGCTGCTGCTGTTGGTGCTGTTGCTCATTTTGCTGCGGGGAATGCTGTTGTTGCTGCTGCCACTGTTAATGCTGCTGCTGCTGCTGCTGTTCATTGTCGTTTCCCGCCGCTGCTGCTTGTGCTGCTGCTGCAGCGGCTGCAGCCTGTGCTGCTGCTTGTGCTGCTGCTGCTTGTGCTGCTGCTGCTGCTGCTGCTGCTGCTGCTGCTGCTGCTGCTTCACCTTTCGACTTCCTCCATAGCATCTCTGCTTTCCTGGATGTTGTCTGGGGGCGCAATGAAAGCATCTTCGATGGTTTCGTTGGTCCCTGCATGCAGCAGCGCGCAGCAGCGCGAAAAGTTGAATTGGATTCAAAAACGCGAAAAAGAGACCAAAATGAGCGCCTCGCGGCTTTCTGCTGCCGCCAAAATTAAAATAAATGAAAAATTTGAATTTAATTTCGCAAAATTGAAGCTGGAGTCGCGCGATTCTCCCCGGATTCCGGATTTGGACTTTGCGGTTTCGGAGTGCTGCTGGCGGGGCAACAGCGAGCAAATTGTCGCGTCTGCTCGCTGTCTTGGGACTTTTCGAAGATAAAAACAAATTATAAATGCTAAAATGAAGTAAGTTTTGCATTATTGGCGGCGAATTTTGAAAAGTGTCGACGGATCGGCGCGGCGGCTGCCGCGGACGCGCCGGAGCTGCGCATACACCCGAACGCCGGAAACGGAAAGCTGCGGAATACGCGAAAAGTACACCGCAGACTCACCCAGGGAAAAAGACTGGAAAAGGTGACTCATTTTTGCATTTAATAAAGGGTTTTAATGGCGATTTTGCTGCGGGAGAGCGCCGGGAAGCCGCGGCGGCGGAGCTTTGCAAAAGCCGCGTGCAGGTGCTGCCAGTCGCCGAGAGGAACTCCCAGCCCGCGCCGCAATCCACTCTGTCGAGTCTTCGAAAAAGTCAAACAAATTCTCAAACAAATTCAACTTGAAAAGAAAACAAAGCCGGAAGTTTCAGCGCAGGCCGCAGCAGGCGGCGGCGGGGGCTTCGGAGTGTCTGCCGAACCACCAGCGCTGCGTGACCAGCCGCTCGCCTCCGAAGATGTTCTTCTTTTTGCACTAATTTAAATTATTAAATGCATTTAATTTCGCATTTTTAATTCTATTTCCCGGAAATTAACTCCAGTTCTCCGGAAATCTTGAACGGCGCGGCGCCCGCTGCCCAGCGCCGCGCAGTGGTTCGGCGGCGGCCGTCAACGCCGCAGCAACTGCTCCGCCGCTGCGTTTCGAATTTATTTATTATTTCAAATTTATTTATTTATTTTGAATTTATTTATTTAATTTGCATTAATGGGCTTTTAAAAGCTGTTTTTAAACGAGGATTGGCCGCAGCAGCAGCAGCAGTTCCAGCAGCAGCCGACTGCCGCTGCGGCGAGCGGGGGGCCCGCGAAAACTCGAGAAAACCCCAGATAATTGCATTTTTTTCCTTTTTTCAATGTTTAAAACTTCTTTAATGTTTATTTTTAACTAATTTTGACAATTTATTCCACAAAAAGTCCCAATTTCCGAAGAAGTGGCTGCGCGGAAGAAACCAGTCCTGTCTTGCGGATTCAGGTGTATGCGCAGCTGCTCCCGGTGTCTGTACCGACTGAGCGCCACTGCTGCTTCCGCTTTTCACTTTTAATTCATTTCGGAGAATCTTTTTATTTATTTTCGAATATTTCCTTTTTTATTTTCTTTAAAATGAAGTATTTCTTTTTCTGGAGCTTCGCCTGAGAGGCGCTGGCTGCGGGTCTTGTTGAAATTGAAAACTAAAAAGTTTGAAAAGCCTCTTGGGGCTTTTTTTAAATTAAAAAGACATAATAGATCCCCTGAGATGGGGCTGCTAGCTGCAGCGCTAGCTAGCTAGCTAGCTAGCTAGCCAGCTAGCTAACTAGCTAGCTAGCTCGCTAGCTGCACTCAGGACAGCACAAACCAACTAGCTGGCTAATCCCGGGGGAGCACAAGCCGGCTAGCTAGCTAGCTAGCTAGCTAGGTGGCTAGCTAGTCCCAGAACAGCATAAGCCAACTGGCTAGCTAGTTAGCTAAGCCAGGAACAGCAGGAGCCAGCTAGCTAGCTAGCTAGCTAAGCCAGGAGCCCTAGCTAGCTGGCTAGCTAGCTAGCTACAATGCAGTTGAGCCCTGAACAGCACAAGCTAGCTAGCTAGCTAGCTAGCTAGCCAGCTAGCTAGCCAAGCCTGCAGCAGCTAGCCAGCAGCAGCAGCAGCAGCTGCTGCGCAGCTTGCCAGGCAGCCACTTGCTTTATTTTTAGTTTAAACTTCAAAAAGAATTATTTGAAACTTTCAAATAATGAATTTAAAAAAAGAATTTTCCACTTTTGAAAAACGCATGCAAAATGAGAATTTGGAGATTTGCATTTGGACTTTCTCTCCCCCCTTTTATTTTCAAATTTCTCGGAATTAAATTCGACTTCTTTATTTTATTTTCTTCAATTTGGATTTCTTTTTATTTTGTTTTCTTCAAATTTGATTTAATTTTATTCTTTTCTTCAAATTGGATTCAATTTTATTTTATTTTCTTCTAATTGGATTTCATTTTATTTTGTTTTCTTCAGATTGGACTTCTTTTTATTTTCTTTTATTCAAAATGGATTTCTTTGTATTTTATTTTCTTCTAATTGGATTTCATTTTATTTTGTTTTCTTCAGATTGGACTTCTTTTTATTTTTTTTTATTCAAAATGGATTTCTTTGTATTTTATTTTCTTCAAATTGGATTTAATTTTATTCTTTTCTTTAAATTGGATTTCTCTTTTTTTCGTTTTCTTCAAATTGTATTTCCTTTTATTTTCTTTTCTTCAAATTGGATTTAATATTATTTTGTTTTCTCCAAATTGGATTTAATCTTATTTTCTTTCCTTCAAATTGGATTTAATTTTATTTCTTTTCTTTAAATTTGAATTAATACTATTTTCTTTTCTTCAAATTGGATTTAATTTTATTTTCTTTTCTTCAAATTGAATTTAATTTTATTCTTTTCTTTAAGTTGGATTTCCTTTAATTTATTTCGCAAGAGTTTCATTTCTTTGTTCAGCGCTGCGTATCTGGGGTGTATCGACACCTCCGGAAGCGCCGCGGGCTCGCGGGCTTTCTTTTGTCAGTTTTGAATTTGGAGTTCATTTAAAAGAACTTCATTTGAATTAAATTTGAAACTTTGAATTAAATTTGAAGAAGTCCGAAGGGGTTTTCTTTTCCTTTCGGGACCTTTTTGCTGCCGCAAAGCCCTGCAAAGCCCCAGCTTTCCGTCTTGCTGCAGCAGCTGCAGCTGCTGCAGCTGCTGCAGCAGCTGCAGCAGCTGCAGCAGCCTTGCTGCTGCAGCAAGACAGCAAAAGAGGGAAGCTCGAAAGCCGCTGCTGCTGCGCCAGCCAGGCCCTTTCGAAACTCCCCTTTTGCTTCCTTCTGCTGCTGCCAAAAGCGAAGAAGAAAATCCGAAAAGAAGAAAAACTGTCGGCTGCTTTTCGCGGCCAGGTTTGGCGCGTTCCGGCTGCGGTGTACGTACACCTGAACGCTGTGCAAGTTGCAGTTTCCTTTCGCCGCCTCTTTCGGAAAGCCGCGAAGGCAGAAGGCGAATTTTGGGGGACTTTGAGCTGCAAAAGTCTGCAATTGTGTTTTATTTTGTCTTTAAAGTCCCTTTTTGCATTTATTTTCCAGTTTTTCCCGCGAACTGGAAAGTCTAGCGCTCGACTTGCACTGCTTTCGGCAACGAGCCGCCGCAGCGGTCCACTGGGCTCCGCCGGCGCGCAGGGGCGCCCCGAGCGGCTTAATCTGCTGCAAAAGAATAAATAAATTAAAATAAAAACAAAAAACAAGTTTTGGACTTGAAAACGCGGAGTTTGCCCGCGCGGCTTTCCCCGGGGCCCCCCTGGGCTGCTGACGATGGCCACGCCGAGCTGCTGCTGCGCTGCTGCTGCTGTCGAGCCGCGAGCTGCTGCTAGAAAGGTTCTTTTGCAGTAATTTCGAATTTAAAAGATCAAAAAGGACTTTAATTTGTCTGTGCAATAACTTTTCCAGGAGTTCGCCGCCGTTGCCGATTGCCCCGAAAAAGCCGCACGAGTGAGTCCAATCGAGAGCAACAGCAGCTTCTCCCGCAGGGAAGCTGCTGCTGCTGCCTTCTTGCGGATTGTTGCAGCAGCAAAACTCTTTTTCAAGCTCTCCAGCCTTCAAAGACTCCCGCTGCTGCTGCTGCTGCTGCTGCTGCTGCTGCTGCTGCCGCCAGCCACGCCTCGCGCTGCTGCTGCCCAGCCCGAAGCCACTCAGCCCAAAGCCCGCAGCCCTCAACGCCGCTGCTGCCCTTCTCCCTCTGCAGGCAGCCTCACGGGGTGTCTGCAGCAGCAGCCGGCGGCGCCAGCTGCTGCTGCTGCTGCTGCTGCTGCTGCTGCTGCTGCTGCTGCTGGGAGGCTGCAGCGGCCGCGAGGGCGCAGGCAAGCTGCACAGCGCGGCTGCTGGAGCCTTGAGGGCTTGCGTGCTTCTTTCGCATGCGCCGACTCTGCATGTGCTGCTGCTGCTGCTGCTGCTGCTGCTGCTGCTGCTCTTCTCAGGGCCTCTCCGCCGCAGGAGCCACAGGGACTGCAGCCTGCAGCCTGCAGCAAACCCGCCGCCGCCCTTTGCTGCTTCTGGTGAGTTTCCCTCCTTAGCCAGTTTGCTGCTAGCTTTTCCTTAGCAACTGCAGCGCAGCACGAGCAGCACTTCAGCAGCTAGAGTAGCCTAGCAGCAGCAGCAGCAGCAGCAGCAGCAGCAGCAGCAGCAGCAGCAGAGCGCCTCGGGGGCCCCACATGCGGCCCTGTGCCCGCCATGTTCTGGTGGCGCCGCCACGGGGGGCCCCCCACCAGCAGCGCCCCAAGCAGCGAAGCCCCCAGCCCGGCGGGGGCCCCCGAGGGGGCCCCTGAGGGGCCCCCCGAAGAAGCCCTCGAGGGGGCCCCCCTCTGCCTCTCCCTCCCCCTCCCCTCGGGGGCCCCTGAGGGGGCCCCTGAGGGGGCCCCTGAGGGGGCCCCTGAGGGGGCCCCTGAGGGGGCCCCTGAGGGGGCCCCAGAGGGGGCCCCTGAGGGGGCCCCTGAGGGGGCCCCCGTCTGGTTTTCGCCCCGCAGCCCTTTGAGCGGGGCCTGCAGCCCCGCAGCAGCAGAAAGGGCCTCCTCCTGTGGGGCCCCGCCTCGGGATCGGATCCCGGGGGGCCCCCCCGTTCGGCGGCTGAGGAGCTGCGGGGCCCGGCAGGGGCCTGGGGGCCCCCAAAGAAGGTCTTTTCTCTCTGTGGAGTACCCGGGGGCCCCCAGCTGGGGCCCCCCCCACTGGGGGCCCCCCAGCTGGGGGCCCCCCGACTGGGGGCCCCCCAGCTCCCCTGCAGCTGGCTTTGCCTCCCCCCGGGGCTCCCCAGCCCCCTCGGCCTGGGGCTCTCCCCAGAGCGAAGACTACTTGAGTACATGCAGCGATGTGCATGCAGCAGCTCCGGAGTTTCCCTCTGCTGCTGCTGCTGCTGCTGCTGCTGCTGCTGCTGCAGCAGAGGGCCAGGCCCGGCTGCTCTCTGCTCCCGCTGGTCTGCTTCCTCCTTCTCTGGAGACAGCCGCAAAACTTGTCAGGTCCTTTTCGCTGCCCCTTTTGGGGCCCTCGCTGGAAGCCCCGACCCCAGAGCCAGAGGGGGGCCCCTGGGGGGGCCCCTGGGGGGGCCCCTGGGGGCCCCCCCTCTGGGGCCCTGCCCTGCCGCAAGCAGCGGGGGGCCCCTGGGGGCCCCCTGAACACCCTGCAGCGGCTCTGCCTGCTGCTGCTGAAGAGGGGGGAGGGGACATTCAGGCAGGGGCCCCCCAGGGGCCCCCTGGAGGCAGCAATGCAGCAGCCTCTGGGGGCCCCCTGGGGGCCCCTCAGGCTGCTGAGCTGCTGCCTGAAGCCGGGGCCTCCGACAGACAGCCCTCTGCTGCAGCAGAGCTGCTGGGGTCAGTGCTGCAGCAAGTGCTGCAGAGGTGCAGCAGCGGGGGGGAGCTGGAGGCCCCCAGCAGCTGCTTCTGCAGCAGCAACCCCGACCCCAGCTTTTTGTCTTCAGCTGCGGGAGAAGAAGAGCAGCAGCAGGACCTGGCCCATTTTGAGGCCCGAGGGCCCGCAACTGCTGCTGCTGCTGCTGCTGCTGCTGCTGCTGCTGCTGGCGCCCAGCCAGTGGAGCCCCGAGAGGCTTTAGCTGAAAGGCTCCAGCCAGAGCTGCAGTGGACCCGACAGCGATCTGCGCCGGACGCCCCCAACGCCGCAGCAGCAGCAGCAGCAGCAGCAGCAGCAGCAGCGGCTGACTTGTACAGGAAGAAGAGAAGCCGAAGTTTGTCGCCGTCCAGCGCTGAGGCGCTGCAGCCGCGCCTGCAGGCAGCAGCAGCACAGCCACGGGAGATCTTTTCTGAATTTCCAGTGAGCAGCAGCAGCAAAGACTCAGCAGAGGCAGCAGCACTTGAGGCTGGCCAGAAGATCCTTTTGGGAGAGAATTCGGGGCCCCAGGAAATCTCTTCTCAGACTCTCGATGCCCCAGCAGCAGCATCCGGCTGTGCGCAGGAAAGCAGCAGCAGCAGCAGCAGCAGCAGCAGCAGCAGCAGCAGCAGACGCGGTGGAAGCGAGGGCTGCAACAGCCGCAGCGGAAGCGGCATCTTCAGCAGCTGCACCGTGAGCCGTAAAAGCAGCGACAGCAGCTGCAGCTGCAGCAGCTGCAGCTGCAGCAGCAGCAGCAGCAGCAGCAGCAGCGGCAGAAGCTCCTGCAGTTCAAGCAGCAGCTGCCTGAGTAGCAGGGAGATATCTCGGGAAGATGAGAGTTTCTGCAGCCGACTCAGCTCCAGCAGCAGCTCCAGCAGCAGCAAAGCCAGGAGCAGCTCGCCGCTGCTGATGGCGTTGGAGGCCTCTCAGGCCAATGAGCTTTCACCAGAAGCCCCGCCGGACTTCCTGGAAGCAGCAGCAGAAGCAGGCGGCGCCCAGTGCAGCAGCAACGGCAACCCGCACGCCGACAGCAGCACCAGCAGCAGCAGCAGCTGCAGCAGGAGCCACGAGGAAACGGCTCCCGCGGAAGGCGAGGGGATCAGCAGCAAATCCAGAGAAGACAGCGGAGAAGCCAGCCCCGGCAGACAGCAGCAGGAGCCTCTTATTCCCAGAGGCCAGTGCGCGCCGCCTGAAGCGCCGCCAGAGGAGGAAGCAGCAGAGGAGCCGCAGCAGCAGCAGCAGCAGCAGCAGCAGCAGCAGCAGCAGACTTGCATTCTTGAGGAGAGCAGCAGCTCTGGGCAGGCCGAGCCGGGCCTCAGGCGCAGCAAAGGACAGCCAGAAAGTTCGCAAATGCACTTTGGGGAAGAAGAGAAGGCCTCGGAAGCAACAGAGCCAAAGGCGCAGCCCGGCAGCCGCCGGCGCTGCACAGCGGCCTCTGCAGGCGCGGCCACGCCGCCTGCGGACTCGAGTTTTTGCGGGCTTTCCATTCCAGCTGAAGTCTCGAAAGAAAGTCTTTTCAGAGGAAAAGCAGAAAGGGAATTTGCAGAACCCAAAGAGCAGCGGGAAGCGCCAGCCGAACAGCCGGCCGGCGCTGCAGGAGGCTTCCATGATAAACTTGCTGATCAGCAGCCTCTGGCGGCTGGAGTGATCCTCCTGGCCCCTCGCGAGCAGCGAGAAGCGGCGGCGAAGCCGGAGGAAAAGGGGGTCATAGCGAAGCTGCTGGAGCACTTGTACCAGCATCGGGGGGCCTACGGCCCTGCAGCGAAGCCACGAGGCAAAGAGGAATCCGCAACAACTGCGGAGGGAGAGGCCGACGCAGCTGCGCTCGAAGACACGCAGCCCCTCAGTGAAGCCTCCAGTGTGGGGGGACTGAGGCTGCCTGCAGCCTCCAGCCAGCAGCGCCGCAGCTTCTCCGCCGATCTTCAACAGGAGGCTCCGCTGCAAAGCCAGCAGCAGCACCGCTGCTTTGATCGCGCAGCAAACGAAACCGAAACTGACTTGGCAGCAGAAACTCACAGCAGCACCGCACCCGACAGCGGCGTAGGCCGCCAGGAGAGCGCCACGCCCATTGAAAGCCCACGATTGCAGCTAGAAAAAACAGATCAGCAGGCCCCATTCGTGCACTCTCTCGCAGGCTCTGTTGGACACCCTCCAGAATGTCAGATGAGCCAATACGACAGGAATTCAAGTCCTCCGATGATTCCCGTTGCTGCGGCTCCCTCGTTCTGGACCTCTCTCGGATCTGCTGCAGAGAGCAGCGAGGCAACTGGAAATTTCCAGGATGCGTCGGAAGATGCGGAAATAGAGCCTAAAAAGCCTGATCACCAGGTTTCAGTTGCACATTCTCGTGAACGATCTGCTGC